ATCTATCTATCTATCTATCTATCTATCTTTCTATCTATCATCTAACCATCCATCCATCCATCAACTATCCATTATCACTATTGCTCTATCTGTCTATGTATTATCTGTTTCCCACCAGATGGCAGCATCTACACAAGTCTGCTCCAACTTGGAAGGTAAGATAGGCTGTCTCTTTAGTCTTTGATAGGAAAGCTACTAAGAAACTAGACTGAGATGGTAGAAAACATTTCTGTCTCAGGGGAAAAAACAACTTTTTCCCCCAGATTATTATTAGGAAGTCTACCTAGGTAGATCAATGGTTTCCTTGTGAGATATTTCTAAACAAAATAGGTTTTATCCTAGGATGATTTGCTCTGCCTTTTTTAAAGCCTTGCAAAGTACAAAAAGACCTTGAAACTTGTAGCAATAACATAACATTAGTTACATTTGCCAAGAGTTATCCAGAGAATGAAAATGTCAATGGTCCAACTAGCTAACCCAAAGAAAGTAGGACATTTCAGGAACTTTGTTGTTCCAAAAGCAAAACTTTATTGGATACATCATTTTGGCATTGAAGAAACAAAACCAGCTCTATTTTTTCTTATGTAACATCTGCATAGTTAAACAATGGGTTGCATTCTCCCCAACCATTGTTGGTCACACTGTCCAATTATGAATCATCCTGAGAACAATTCACTTCTTTGGCAGACACCTGCATTGGTGACCTTGGCTCTCATGGTCTGTCTCTGGAGCATTTACATTCTTTCTCCTCTCCCCACCCCAAGTTGTGGCAAGTTGACGAGCATAATAATTAAAATGTCTCAAAAGTGGTTCAATCTTGACAGAATATTCATCTGGAGTGACTGAAAAATTTCCACATGACTTTGAAAACTCAAGAAGATACTTTCTCCCATTTGAGCCTGTCAGCTGTAGCTGTTCTGACCCAGCCTTCATGAGCCCCACTCAACAGCCTACTCTTGAGGAGAAACCCCTTTTTATTTAGAAAGGCAGGAATACACAGCGTTCACTGACAAAACTCCAGGTCACACATCCTTAGGTGATTCACAACCCATAGCAGTCTTTGAGTTCCCCTCATGGAGTCTCAGTTAGCACTTCAATCCCAACACAAAGATTTTTGACCAACCTAGTTAATGGCAAGGAAATCCTGGCAAGGAATCCACTGGAGGGAACTCTTCTGGAACATGAATGGTTATCTCCAACAACCATGCCTCTCACACCTCTCTTTCTCATATTCCAGCCAGGGAGAGGATTGTCAACATCTCCTTTTCTTGGATAGCTGGCCCTCAGTCCTGCATTGCTCTCCTCTCCCCACTTCTCTGTGGAAACATGCATCTGGCACAGGGCCCAGCTGTTCCTCCTCCTCGCTCAGGTCCAGCCCCGAAAAGAGCTGTCCCTCCACCTGAGCATGAGTAAATGGGCCCTGCTCTGCATCTGGTTCTGAGACCTTCTGTTCCTCAAATCTTTCCACTGGCTCTGATAGTAACCCAGGCACCCCTTCTATCTCCTCTGACTCATCTGACTCATCTGCCGTCTCCTCCGGTAGTCGACAAACCACAATAGTAGCAATTAAAATGGTGGACTGGAAAAATTCCATTCTTGCTGAATGATTTGT